CCCACATAAAGTGATTTCAGCTCCTCAGTGGTTAAGAACAATATCTTTGAAAGCAGAATGTACTATTTTTCGCTGTGACAAAGTACCGCAAACTGAATGGCTTAAAGTAGCATCAATTTATTGTCTTACAGTTCTGGAGGCTAGAAGTTTAAATCAAGATGATGGTATGGTTGGTTCCTCAGAGGCTGTGAGAGAGACTCTTTTCCATGCCTCTCTCCAAGCTTCTGGTAGTTTGCTGGCAGACTTTGGCTTATAAATGCATCACTCCAGTCTTCATGCGGTTATATCCTTGTGTATCTATCCCTTTACATTATGTTCCCTCTGTGCATGTCTGTCTCTCTGTCCAAATTTCCCCTTTTCCTAAGGACACCAATCATACTAGTTCAGAGCCTACCTTAATGATTTCATTTTTACTTGATTATCTTTGTAAAGATTGTTTCCAAATAAGGTCACATTCTGAGGTACTCGTGCTTAGGACTTCAATATGTGTGTTTCAAGGGGGACACAATTCAACCCATAACATATAGGAAAGGGAAAAAAAGACAAATTCCAAGTTCTGCACCAGGCTGTGTTACCCTTGAGCATTTCCTTAAACCTTTAAAGTATAGAGTCAGGATGTTAACATCTCCCTTGCAAAGTTGTTGTGATGATCAACTTAGTTATAAAGATGGTGCCCTTAGCAACTTGTTTGGCATACAGTATGTGTTCAATAAAAATTAACTACTGTTGTTATAAAATCAACATGGCATATGTAATACATATGCCAATTCCATTATATATTTTAACTTGATTTTTCTTAATTAAAATATTGTGACTGAGGATATAGTATGATTTTTTAAAATGCAATTTTTTATTATTAACAAGGTATAGGGTGGGCATAGGCAGAAAATAGATTAGAAATTTCAATAGATTTCTCAATTTTCTTATCTATCTATCTAGCTATCTGTTTGCTTCTCTGTCTGTCTATTCATGTTCCTCAAAACAAGCCAATTTGTTGGGTGATGGAGATACAAAGATGGAGATACCACATTTCCTCACCTTCTAAAGTTTATAGACTGGAGGGAAGGTAGAAATATATAAACCCATAGTTTTAATTATAATATGAAATGTGCTAGAGTAGAGGGATGAATAAGATGCCTGAGACAACTAACGGGAGGCTTTTAGCTCAACCTGGAGACTCTAGAAAGACTGCCTTTGACTTTTAAAGAGTAAGACTTATGCAGGTATGAGAGATAGATGGCACTCTGCATGATCTAGGTGCTTAAAGTGGCACCACCAATGTTGAAATCCCAAGCAATTCAGTATCACCACAACAGTCATAGTAGCTGACATTTATTGAACACATACTATGTTCCAGGCATTATACTGAATTCTTTACATATTTTTTTTAATTTAAACTTTGCAAAAACCTCTGAGGAATCCTCATTCTCGTTTTATAGAAGAGGAAGCTGAGCATGGATAGTCTGCATGGCTTGCTGTAGGTTACCGGCAGACCCTTCTTTTAAATACCCCACAAACTGAGTGTCCAGCTTGAGGAAATATCTCAGAGAGAGGGAACCAGCAGGGATGTGATGTCAAGGTGAAGGGTTAGGATAGGCACCGTGGGGAGCCAGTGACAGGTGTTCATCTGGGAATAATGAGTTAACTGTGAACCCAGGTGCTTCTGTGGGAAGGATAGACTATAGGCGCGAGCATGGAGCTGAAGAAAGGATGCAGGAGCCTATTAAAGCTGTCCTGAGGACTTCCTGGGGTTCTCAGTCTTGGGTCTCCCTCAGAGACGGTCTTCAAGAAGTAACACCAGAGATGTCTCTGAGGACAGCCAGCCACAGGGTGAAGAATTGTACACACAAGTGCAATGGGAACCCTAACTTGTGAATTTAATTGACCCCCCCCCCCACACACACGTACTTTATTGAATACCTGCCAGGAACAGGGTAGTGAAGAGGGAGGGGCAGGAGTTTTCTAATTTTTGCGCCATTTAATCCTCACAGGAACCCTCTTCCTCCTTAAGAGGTCAGAAAGCCAAGGCTCTGCAGAGTTGATATCCTTGTCAGAGACCTTGTGATTTAAGTGGGACAGCCTCCTTTCCAGCTTAGGCCAGATTGACTTAAAAGGCTGTACTGACTGCCCGGGTGCACTGCACCCAGCTGTTCTCTAGTCCGGCCAGTGAGGAACGAAGCACAGGTATGGCCCAGAAAGCTTAGAGACTGGATTCAGGGCCATTTTGCTGCACGACACCCCCACCCCAAGATTCCATGGGCGTAAAGATGAGGGGGTGGGTGGTGCACAGAGTCCATCCTTGCTTCCAATTTTTCAAGAAAAAGAATGGATTTCAGTCATAATAAATTTCTGCCATTTTAAAGATTTTGATCTACTAATGCAGTTTTGCTAATGGTTTGACCTAATAGTTTTTTTTTTAAATTATATTTTATTGATTTTTTTACAGAGAGGAAGGGAGAGGGATAGAGAGTTAGAAACATTGATGGGAGAGAAACATCGATCAGCTGCCTCCTGCACACCTCCTACTGGGGGTGTGCCCCCACAACCAATACATGCCCTTGACCGGAATAGAACCCGGGACCCTTCAGTCCGCAGGCTGACGCTCTATGCACTGAGCCAAACCGGTCAGGGCTGACCTAATAGTTTTAACAAAACTTCCAAGAGACTTTAACAATCTCTTTTAATTACAAAAGTTTATCTTAAATCCTTAAAATTCTAGTTGTCTCAGAAGGGAGGTTCCAGAGGAATGAGCAAAGCACAATTAAAGAATGAGGGACAAAAGTGTCTAACTTCTTGGTGAGTTAGAGGTGGTTGTGAAAGATGAGTAGGAGTTTTCTAGGCAAAGGAGCTTAGAGAAAGACTATTCCAGGCAGAGAACCTGTATGCCATCTCTTAGTCCTGAATTTCCTGCTCATGTCAATGGCATTAACTTTTCTCACTGAATCGGGTGGGGAATGAGACTGCTTTATCTGTCTTGCCCTCTGCTGTGTCCACAAAGTCAAGAGCAGTGCCTGGCACAGAGTAGTCAGTCACTCAGTAAATACTTGTGGTGTTGGACAAATGGCATCACTATGCCCAGCAGTGACTGGCTAAAGGAAAGGTCATTTTTACTTTCTCGGTTCTCATACTGTCAGTCTGTTGCAACACCTTTTCTTCTGTTTCTGCTCCCATCCCTTTAGCAGGAAACTCATTACTAAAACTAGCACAGTGTTCCCATAAATAATCTTTCCATTTTCTGTATGTGAGTACTCCATTTATCCTACCCAGTTAGAATATTTTCTTCTTCTGCTAAAAAACCATCAGTGCTGAGTACAAATATATCTCAGCTTTCAAGACATAATAATATACACTGAGTGGCCAGATTATTATGACCACCTGATGTTTGTAGGCAAATTAACCATACACTGTATCGTATGGGATATGGAAGCCGAAGGCCTGTTTGAACACCTTTGCTGTCTGCAGTTACCAAGATAAAAC